AGCCTCAATCTCTTTAGCATCGTAATCATTAAAAATTTTGACTTCAGAGTTTAATGGTTTTCCTTCAATTACTTCCTGCGCATTTTCATACGATAATTTAGCGCATGGTCGGAGTATAGTGCGGCCATACCACGTCTCAAAATGTTTGCCTTCTGGTGTCATTTTCCAAATTACAGAAAAGGCAAGTCTACAAATATGATGTTAATATGACGGCTATATATTTGCAAGGAGTTTAACGGTTGATCTCTTTGAGTATTACCTATCTGCACCAGGGTTTAAGCTGCATAACTCTTCGGAAATTAATGGCGGGAGCATGGGAACAGATTTTTGGACCAAATAAACGGTTGTTGCTCTTTTACGAGCTTCTCGATCAAGTGCACTGTTTTGTTTAACAAAATAGCTTACATCCGCAATATGAACACCTATTTCGTAATTTCCATCTGGAAGGCGAGAACATGAAACAGCATCGTCAAGATCCTTCGCAGTAGGAGGATCAATCGAGAAAATCCTGGTGGTTGACCTTAAATCTCTACGTGTTTCGATTTCCTTTTCAGGAATAGTCCATGGAGTAGATGGAAGGCATTTTGTCACATTTTCATTGAATTCTTCAGAGGAAACGTTATTATCTTTAAGAAGTGCTTCCGTTTCTACTTCTATACTACCAATCTCTCCTATTTTTGTCACTAAAGTGCCAAAAGGATGAAGAGAAGTTATGGGCCAACGCTTAATACAGGCCTATTTGTAAATGTAGAATATTAATAACATTTACAATGTATATCATTTTTACGAATAAGTATGAGTAGCCAAGAATACGGTTTCTAAAATGGTAATATACAATTAAAAACGTAATTTCAACTTACGACAAATAATTGCTGAGCATAAGACTGATGATTTTCGACAAAATCAGATGGCGCTTGCTCAGTTGGAATGGCAATTAAGGGTACGCGTTTGTCTGTCTAATGACAGATTAATTTATAAACAAATATTATTATATAATAATAATAATAATAATAATAATCATAATAGAAATAATAATAAATTATATATATACCGGCTTAAACCATACAATCTTTGGACGCTCATTTTTGTCGTCTTTTTTCTCCTCTCGAGATTCTTCCACTTTGGGTTCAATCCCAGCAGCCCTATCTTCAGCTTCTTTTCGAGCTTTTTCAGCTGCTTCCCTTTCTTTAGTTGCAGTGGATGATGGTCTTAAAAGAGCAAGCGTTCTATGTACATTAAAAAATATATATGCAATTAATGTATAGTGAGCAGGGAGCGTAGAATATAATGCAATAAGCTCTGAATTGAATTGGATGGCAGTTATTACCCAGAAAAAAGTTGTCCTGGCATTCGTTCCATAACTGCAACAACATGACCACAATATTTCGGTCTCTGTTCATCTGTAACAATGTCATCATCCTCGAAAAGAAGAAGGCCTTGTCCCTCGACTTCAACGTCATCTTTCTTTTTATCGATTTTTTTTTTGTCAATTCCAGCGCTTTCTTCTTTTTTCCTCTTCTTTTCTTCTTTCTCTT